CTGGTGATTAACAGCTCTGATGACTTCCATTAGCATTGATTCGACTCCCCCAGTCTCCAACAACAAACCGTTAATAAGAGTAATTTCTGCTGAAGCGGGAGCTAATTGAATACAACACGTGCAAATCTATAGGGCACCTTGTTTTCCTACAGCCTGAGCGCCCTGTGCAGCTGTAGCACTGAAAAATTGAGTTGAGGCTAGCTGCAAGCCCAGCCCTGGGCAGAGACAGCGGGCTCCGGGGGAGGAAAGCCTCGCTGCGCTGCCAAGGCGCTGATCGCTTGGCTGAGACGAGCTGGCACGGGGCTGGAGGGATGTGTAATGGAGTTAAATAGAGAAATGGGACCTGCACCAAAGGGGAAGTGGAGCTATCTCGAGGAAGGAAAACGTGCCTGAACGTGGGACCCCCTCGGCTCCTTGGAGTGGGCAGAGGCAGTCCAGGGAAGGGGCTGTCTCCTTGACTTCTCCTTGATTTGGAGGTATGCGTGCACCTGCACAAGGGCCTTCCTGCATCAAAGCCTAATGAATCAGGTTTATAGGGGGGAATCATCAAGCTACAAACTTCAAAGTAAAAAAGTCTAGCAAATAAGCGGGTGCAGAGCAGCCAAAACACAGGGCGAAGGAGGTGGACGAGCATTTGATGAAAATCTCATTTTGGCACACACGGATCTCATTTTGGCACCCACGGATGTCCAAGGAGCCACCTCCCTGTGCTCAACAGACCTGCCCTCTGCCACCACTCCCGCGTCCAGCTGCAGCACGTTCAGCTTGGGTGCTCCTGAGCACCTGGTCCTGGGAGAAAAGTGTTTCTGATGCCCAGAGCACCCTCGTTCCTCCAGACAGCACGCACAAAACGGAACCAGCAAGTCACTCGGGGACTGACTTTTATCCCTGATCTCCAACTCATTATCTGGAGCAGCAATTAATGAGTCTGGGGCATGGGCAGAGCATGGGGAATGCAATAAAAAGGGGACAGGAGCAGGCACAGCACTGTCCCCATGCTGGCAGCTCCATCTCTCTCTCAGCCATGCCAGGAGGCACAGACACCCAGGCTGGGGGCTCTGGCCCTCCCGCCCCATGCAGGGGCTGAGGATGCTGCTGAGGCTGCTCAGACCTCTGCAAAATAACCCCAGTGGCTGAGCCAAGCTCAGTCTTGAGTCTCTGCCCTGCTACAAACATTTTATGCATTCCTTCACTCAGCCTTGGCTTAAGACCCAAAGCAAATCCTGAGGTCCCCAGGCTTCCAGGCAGGTAATAACTTTCAGCTACCTTCTTTCCTTCCCACTGAATTCAGGCAAAAGCACGAGCACGTATGTGCCTTTTGGGTGACCGTTACAGATCCTTGAACCCGTAGCCCCTCCACGCTGGCAGGTTTTCCAGCACAGCTGCAGGTACTGACCCTTCTGCCCCTTCCTCCCTCCATCATCCTGGAGACCTGAGAATTTGATGCCGATTCGGGAGGCTGCCACGTTCCGCAGCCTCTCCTGTTTACATAAATAGGTGCTTTAATCCATTTTGCCAGCAGGCTTTCCTCTGGCACAGATGGCTGGTATTTTCATGGCGCGGCAGCTCTCAGATCATGACGTTCCTGGTGACAGCTGTACATCAGCTGTACCGCGGCGCCTGCAGCACGACCCACGAGGAATTAAGCCTCAGATACCACCGTGAGCTCCCAAACACCAGCACGGCCTCTTCCCCTGTGGAGAACAGCCTCCCGTGGGTTATGTGCTCGTCTCCTTGGGTGCTGTCCCAAAAAGCCATTCGCCCTTGTCACCTCTCCAATTTGCTTTCCCAAAATGAACAAAAGGATCCTAGAGGCCGGAACCAATTTCCCCTTCCTTTACAGACCCCAGAGTTTTGGCCCAGCCTAGATCCAAGTCCTCAGGAGCTCCAGCCATTGTGGCTTTGGAGGACCCTCTGGCTGGGATCTCGCCTCCGTCTCGCTAACAATGGTGCAACACCGCGGAGACGGCGGCTGAAACTCAAGCGCTATTTAAACAGACGAGTATGTAGGGTATAGTTCATACCGCGCGAGTTCAGACAAGGAAAATCGGCACAGCCAGGCAGCTCAATGCGAACCAGATTTTAAAAACAAAAACATAAACCCCGGGCCCTTCCTTAAGGAAGCCCTCACCGAATTCTTTCCCCTGCTCAGGAGTCCAACACCACGCCGTGTGCTCAGCCCTCGCTTTGCACTCCGAGGAAGGACTTTAAGAAGCAGAAAGCAGCACATTGTGGAGCGCAGCCTGGCTCGCAGCCAGGGCTGGGGGGGAGAAAAGCAGCACACAAACCCTCTGCTTCAGCAGCACATTTCCCTCCTGCTCTGTGGCAGAACAAGCTTTTGCAAAGCCCTCGCCGTTTGAACCCGCAGCGCTGCAGAGTCTCAGCTTCCCTAAGGCGAATCAGTCAATTGGTTCAGCAGTGTATTTAGAATCCCCCAGAGCCTCCCCTTAAATCACCTTTATATTTCTCTACCCCAAAGCTAATAGTTTCTACCTGCATTTTGCTTCATCTCCGTAGAAAAACAAGCTCTTTAGCAGTCACATTAATAATCCGCGGCAATCTGGTTGTCGGTTCCCTGATGGAAAATTTCACAGTGCTGCCCAGCAGCGGCGGCGGCCACGCGCTGAGTGCTGCGCGCCCCTCGTGCCTCTGCTTTCCTCCCCCTGCACCCCGCAGGGGCAGAGCTGGGGGGCACGGGGAGGACGGGCAGCACCCCAGGGTGCACAGCCCAGCCTGGCCGGGCGCTCAGAGCACGCAGGAGCCTCGTGGAAGCAACCTGATGCTGAGCTAGGGTCAGTGAGCTCCCTGTCTGAAGGAGCTTAGAGAAAACCCTGAGCCCCCAGCCATGGTTTTACCGCTCTCCCCTGGCTACAGCAGTGAGCAGCTCATGTTCTGAAGCCCAGCGTGGTCCCAGGACTGCTGAATCCCACCCCACACTGCTAGGGAAACAGGGTGGGAGAAGCCCTTCTCCTCCCACCCCAACCATCCCATCCCTCCCGGAGCACCAGGGCTGCTGGTGGGTCCTCTGGCAAGGTGCTGGTAAGCAACGGCACCATAAAACGTGGCCCGAAAGGATTTATCCTAATATAGCCTGGTGTGCCCCGGCCAGCCTCGTGTGAAAAGCCCACAAGGTAAATATTCATTAAATAAGCAGAGAGCTTAATATAGAAATTCAGGGAGTGAAGTACTCTTCAAGCCCCCTCACTTCTCTGCAAACAATCGGCCAATGAAGATAAATTTGGTGAGGCTGATCACTTGCACTTCCAGGCGAGGCTCTTGTAAAAGAGAAATCACATGTTTCAGTGTTTATCAGCCCCGCAGAAAGGCCTGGTCCAGCATCTCTCCACTCTAATTCCTGCTCTCGTAACTGTCAGATTATGAAGCTGCAGACTGTAAGCCTCCCGAGTTCACAGAAAAACACCTCTCTGCTCTCCGCCGCCACTTTAAGCAGATGAACTAATAAAAACAGCTCCGCTATTCACTCCACATGCCTGGGAGAAAGGAATCTGGAACGGCAGTGGCTTCAAAATACCATCACAGGGAGCAACCACCCACAGTGCCTGGAGTCCCCTCGTGCCTATCTGCTCCTCACCCAAATCCGCCAAATCACCCAAATCTTCTACCTGCCTGCAGGGGCTGGGATTTCCCCTGATCCCAAGGATTAAGGGGCTGTTTCCTTTGTGGTGTTTGATGCCAGGAGCTCGTCCTGCCATCCATCCAGGCGGGCTGGTCCCGGGTGCACGCACAGCAGAAGCCTGCACCAGCATCTCCTGAAGATGGGCAACGAGCTTTGACCACCCTTGGGCAACCCCAGTGAGGCGGTGGGCAACAGAGCCACCGCGGCTCCGCTGTCACCTTCCAGCCACTGGAAGGAGAAATATGAAGGAGACGAGATTTATAATTAAGCAGCCTCATGGTGAGCCTCAGGTGAGGCGGGGCGGGCGATCCCAGCAGCGCAGAGGGCACGGCCGCTTAATATGTGCTGAGAAGCGAGGCTGGCCAGCCAGACTGCATTAGGCCGTCAGGGAGAAGGCGCTGGTCGGAAGGGACACATTCAGCACACCCGAGCCCCCCCCACATCGCTCAGTCACTGAGGCATTAACGGCACGGGAGGACACGGGGACTGGGAGCCGGGCTGGCACGGGGCGCTGTGGGCAGTGCAGAAACGCCTCCGCGCGCAGCGGCGAGTGACTGTGCAAATAGAAAACGTGCCAGGATGGGGGAGAAGTAAACAAGGATGACTCCAGAAGCAAGGGAGTTCCCAGAAGAGGCTGGCGCAGGGACAGGGCTGGCTGTGGCTGGGAGGGAGAGCCCCGGCACCCCGTGAGCAGCACCGTGCTGGCTGCCGGCAGCCCTCGAGCAGCGGGGGGCACGTAGCGAGGTTTTGCAGCATCCCGGCTAATAAACTCTTCCCCCCAACGAACCGTGCACCTGCAGGAAGCCAGGAACCTGCCCATCCCGTGCCCATGCAGCATCTGTGGGGCTCAGGGCACAACACAGCGCAGGAGCAGGGCAGCACCCAGGGATTCAGCCACAAAACCCGAGCGAGAGACCAGACCGCGGCTTCTGACAGCAGGGCTCTTGTCATCCTTATAGAGACGTTTCCAGGGTGGCAACTTCTTTCCTTAATGACTACATTCAGGGAAAAGCTCGCCTAGCTGACAAGCGGATGAGAGGCTGGAGCCGAGGCAGCCTCTTGCCTGCAAGGACCGAGATAATAGAGCGGAGGAATAGCCAGCGCTGAGTCTATTTTGGATTCAGCACGCTGCTGCTGGAGCGTTCACCGGGGAGGCAGAGGCATTTGTTACATCCCCCCTGGGGACCACGCATTCAACAGACGCTCCTGCCCGTGGCTGCACCGACCCCAGCAGCTGCCACGTGGCAGCGGGCTCAGCACGGAGCCGATCCCAAAAAATGAGGGATGGGAAGGGACCTTGGGACATCCCCTCGTCCCATCCCCTGGGGCTGGGAGGGAGCTGGAAGCTGCCGAGCCGGCTCACCTGCTCGTGGTACTCGATGCCCATGCTGAGCGTGTTGATGAGGATGGCCACCATGATCCCACGGCCAAAATATTTGCTGTCCACGATCTTGCGGAAGGTCTCGCACACCACGCGCCAGAAGGCCAGCACCCTGCCGGCGCTCCTGGCCCGGGCCCTGCCGCGCTGGGGGTCCCGCTGGTCGCTGTAGTGGGCGTCCTGCGTGAACTCGTAGACCCCCTCCTCGCTGTCCGAGTCCGCCGTCTCGTTGTCCGTCTGCTCGGCCTCGCTTGCCAGCGCCTTCAGGCAGTAGGGGCAGCCCTCGGGGCTGCAGGAGCCTCCTGTCCAGCTTGGTGCAGGGGCTGGAGATCTTGCAGGAGCTCGGGCAGGGAGCTGAAACGCCAACGGGGCAGGGGAGGGTGGGCTGTTAGGCAGGGTGGGAGGCGGTGAGAGAGGTCCCCCTGTGCCTGATAGCACCGAAAAATTGTCCTCAACACGACAGGTGTTTGTGAAGGGGAAAAGGGCTCCCGAGCAGAGGCAGCTCTGATGCCATCAGCAAGTGCTAACGTGGATGTGGCTATCCAAAGGACACCCCAGCCCTCAGTTAATGCAGGGAGCCACAGCCACCTGCACAGCCAGCCCTTTCCTCACTCCTCACGGAGCATTTCCCAAAGGGTTAAAGATCCCCAGGCCAAGCTCCTGCTCCCTGAGCACTCTCTCCCTGCTCACTGCCCCCAGCAAGCCCCCAGCCCAGCACCCGTCTCCTTGCACCCTTGGCCGTGAAGGCCGGGAGAAATCAATCAGCTCCCCCAGCCCTGGCACTCTCTGAGCTGCAATTAGCGGGAGCGCCGCTGCCAGCAGCCTCCTTTCCTGCTCCCGCTGTTTGCTGATGCTCCAAAATCCCCAGCTTTCCCCCACGGCAGCTCCCAGCTGCCAGGTGGCTCCCCGGGGGACAGCAGCAGCGGGATATTCCCCGTATTGCCAGCTGGCTGCTCGGGGAGAGGCGAGCTGCAAAGCTCCTGACTCCTGCACAACACCACCAGCACAAGCCCAGCACTGCAGAGCTCAGAGCCCTGCTGCAGGTACGAGCTCTGGGCTGGGGGAAATTGGCTTTTCCCCATGCAGGTCCCACCTGGAAAGGTCAAACCCCGAGGTGTTAAAGGCCACCGTGGCAGGAGGGGGGTGGCACGGACTGCCTGGGAAAGCCTGGCCTGGAAATGCTGCCTGGAGGCCAAGAGGGTTTGAAGGAGGTTGGCCCGAGCTCCCAAACCTCAGGATGTGGAAGGGGAAAGAGCGCCTTGCGGTGAAGGTACGAAACCCTCGCCTGGGGAGAGCTGCGTTCAGTTCCTGGCGCTGCTGCAGACTTCCTGAGCAAATCGCTCAGAGCAGATTTTTAATGCTCGGCATCTGCGAATGCCATTGAGAAGCCGTGAAGCGCAGACACCCCCTCACCCCCAGCTTGGGGCCCTGCGGGGTGTGCTGAGCCTCATCCCTCCTCGGTCCAGAGCCCCCACCAGCCCTTGCCTTTTAAAGAGGAAAGGACTTGGCCATTTGGAAGCAGCCAGGCTGGGCTCCAGCTCGGCGCAGTGTCCCTGAGCCAAACTGGAGATGATTTGGGGAGTGCGGGGATCTGGGGAGTGCTCTCTAGTTGCAAAATAAATTGTATTTTGGGGGGAGATTTTGAAGGGGAATAAAATAGCTTCAATGAAAACATTCATATCCCTTATTATTATTTTTTTTTTTGCAAGTACAAAGCCTGGAAGTTTGCAACCTCCCTCCCTGTTTTGTCTGTGATGCATTAGGTAGGTTGAAAGACTCCCGCTGGCCTCACCTGCAAATCCATCACCTTTATCCGTAACGTGGACCGAAAAGAACCCTGCAAAGACGTGGGCGAAAGAGAAGGCCATCAGCACAGCGCTCACCTCTCCGCCACGCAGCCCCACACCGACACCCAGCCCCGGCACTCACCCGTGCTCTGCGTCTCCAGCAGCTTGTGCATGGTGCTGTACGGCCCCGGCGGGATGTTCAGGCTGGTCAGCGTGCTGCTGCCGGCCCCCACCGCCGCCTCCCCCAGGCTCTTCTCCTTCAGCACCTCGTGGGAGGTGCTGGGGTGCACGGTGGGGTACACCTTGCCGCCCCCCATGCCCTTGGGGACACCTTCTGGGCTCGGCAAGCCGAGAGCTGTCTGCGGCAGGGCCGGCCGGCAGCGCAGCGGCTCCACGTGGCAGTCGGCGTGGTAGATGCTGTGCACGGACTCGGTGGGGCCGGGAGCGGCGCCGGGGTTCGGTGCCGACGGGGGCAGCATCAGCCGGTTGGTGCCGTTGTGGAGGGAGCCGGTGTCCACGTCGCTGATCTCCGGGCTGGCACGGGGCGCCCGCAGGTTGCCGTTGCCCAGGTGGTAGTGGTGGTGGTGGTGGTGGTGGTGGTGGATGAGGTGGTGCACCGAGGACCTCTTCCTAGCCCGGCGCTTGCCGGCGTGCCGCTCGGTCCCCGCCTTGCCGGTGGGGCTGGCGAGGAAACCCATCCTCACGCCTGCCACCCGGTAGAGCTCCACGAGCTGCTTGCTGCCTTTCCGGGCGATGTAAACCAGGTACTTGAGGAGCTCGTCGTAGCAGCTGCCCGGCTCCGAAAAGCTGGCCAGGGTGCTGGCGTTGGACAGGTAGCGCACCCGCTGCTCCTTCATCAGCTGGCTCTCAGCGCTGCTTCGTCTCCGAGAACTGCGTCGCGATCACCACGAGGCAGAGGTTGATCATGAAGAAGGAGCCCACCTACGGGGACGGGAGCCATCAGAGCCCCGTGTCCTCAGCTCTGCCCACCCCATGGCCCTTTCTCGCCCTACACCACCAAGCAAGGAGCAGGGGACAAACCCCATCTGGCCCCGGTGTCACCCATTGAGGTCCACCAGCCAGTCCTGGTGTCCCCCATCAAGGACCACCAGCCAGGACCACAGCACGCCTGACTCATCCCCCAAGACGAGCCCCCCCAGGTCCCCACCCCGGGGACTCCCACACCAGGGCTCTATGGAGGACGTCAGAGATCAAAGGCAGGAGGAGATAATTTTGACAAAAAGCTTTTGCTCTTTTAAGATCGTGTTTTTCTCCCTCTGCAGACAGCAGTTGTAATTATCGCAATTAGTGGCATTACGATGAATGCGCTGAGCCCTCCTGATAGGAGCGTTTTTTCTGGCAGTGTGTGGGTAGCTTGCGAGCAGATCCCTTTCCCCTGCTAACGGGATTTGCGGGTTACTGTTACGCAAGGGCAGCGGCAGTGTGCATCCACAGCTTGGAGATTTTATTTCCAACCCGGGTTTTCACGAGGTCCTGCTTTCTGCAGATGCCAGCCTGGATCACAAGGAATTTCTGATATGCTAATGGGCTGCCACAAACTGCTAACAAGACCCGCACGGCACCCGGGAAAGCACTGTTTGTCCTTCCTCTCTGCTGTTTTGGGGACGCAGAGAGCAAGGGATTGCTGCTTTTTTGGGGGAAGCTAATAGATGAACCAGAAAAAGCATCGTGGGCTAAACAGCCTCCTACCTTCTCATCAGGGTTTGAGGTCTGGCTTGATGAGGACCAGAAATCCCCACAATGGTCTAAAGGAGGACGTGCAGCTATTTTGCTGGATTTAGTCCAATTAGACAGGAAGAAAGGGACTCATCTCACTTATCTCAGCTATATCTGCGCGAGGCACCTAATGATCCTTTAGAGTCAAGAGAGGAATAGGCACATCAAGTCTGCAATGCATCTAATTTATTTTGAATGTCTACCTCAGGAGCAGATGAATCAGCCCCTTAAAGCACCTCTTTTTCTCCCTTGACGATAAAGGGAGTCTAGACAATGAGCTCCTCCACTCGCAGGAGACACCGCCGCTCGCGTAGATGAAGCCCATGGTGGAGCCCACCCCTCCGAAACTCTTTGTTGGCTCCTCTGTGGGTGGTCTCGGCTGACGCTGGGAAGCGTGGGTGGGCTGTGGGCACTCATCCCTTCCCTCCTTTTTTCCTCTGCTCTCTGAAGTCTGGGGCTGCTTTCCCTAAACATCCCCTCTGCACCGAGGCCCAGCCAGCGGGGCTCTTCGGCACGGGGAAACCTCTGGGCAGCCTCCTCCCTTCCATGGCTCGAGACCTGATCGGGGAAATTTCCCTGCTTTTAAACTTAAACTCAAGGAGGCAGCTAAGGGAGATGACCTTGGAGGACAAAGAAAGAAGCAGGAGGAGCACCAGCAGCGCATCTATCATAGCTTACGTGCACCTTCCCTTTGCAGCTCAAGGCAGCGCCGTGCCGAAGCTGCACGTCCTGCAGCAGGCTGGTTTCTGCTGCGTGGGACCAGCCTCACATCCCCTGTGCCATCCTATCCGCCTGCTCCTCTCAGCCACTCCACGCCCTCCACAACACCAGGAGACCCCCCCGTCCCCGCGAGGCCACTCACGATGATGAGGAGGATGAAGTAGATGAAGTTGTAGAAGGAGTGCGCGTCCATGACGAAGTACATGATGTCCACCCAGCCTTCCAGCGTGATGACCTGGTGGGGGCAGGAAGGGAAAACCAACACGGCGAGGCCCCGTTACAGCACCAAGAGAACAAGCAACATTTCTCCTGCCTGGGCCAATTCTGACACCCCATAGCCGGTCTGGGAGCAATACGGGACAGCGAGGAACCAAGTCCCACTGTCACCAGTACCAACAGCCACATTGCTGGTGGCGCCCAGTGAGGGCTGCATCCAACCCTTCTTTTCCTGGCTGGATGAAGGGCCAACTTTGCACTTTGCAGAGGGAACAGCAGGCATGAGGCCACGGTCCACATCAGGACACTCCTCCTGCACCCACACAACATTTGGGACCAGACTTTTGCCCACGAAACCATCATCAAAGCAGGCATCAAGCTGTCTCCCTGCCATTTCGAGCATCCTTGTGCTACTACAGAAGGGCTTGCTGGTGCACCACAGCCTTGGGAAACAGGGTTGCAAAGCCCCACAACATCTGGAGAGGCACCACCAGCCATCCCACCCCTGCTCCGTGGCAGTTTTCACGCCAGGCTCACCTGGAAGATCGCGATCCAGGCGTAGCCAATGTTGTCGAAGTTGATGGCGCCCTTGAAGGGGTTGTGCTCCCCAGCTGAGCAGTTGGTGTAATACTGGTTCCAGTTGACACAGGAGGTGTTGGTGGTGTCGTTGTAGGAGTAGTAGTCCAGGGTGCACTCGAGGCCCTCCTCCCTGCGCGTGGGGATGCTGCGGCAGTAGCGCATCCCGTTCTCGCGGGGCTGGGAGCAGATGAAGGGGTTCTCGTCCTCGTTCTCGGTCTGGTAGTACCGCTCCAAATCCACTGCGTAGGGGCTGAAAGGGGCCAGACAGGGCTGGGGTTTGCACGCCGACTGCGGGCAGTCTGGCATGATAACGACTGAGGCGACAACACAAAGTGACATCTTTTATTCTGCATCGTCAAGGGGTTTTTGTTTGTTGGGTTTTTTTTTTGCTTAAATTCCCCTGGCCTATCTGCAGCCCCTCTGGGGGAGATGATGTCCCTGCTGGGGCTTAGGAAAACCGAGGCAGTGCACTCAGTGGGTTGCTGGTGGGGCTGGAACCCCTGCTCCCTGCCCCATACAAACTCTTCATCAATAGAAGGGGCGAAACAGATGGAAATAGAGGAGTAGAAAAAGGAATCAGAGGAGGAGTGGAAGAGGTTGGTCAGACTGCTGAAGCACTGCTGTGCCGTGGCTTTAGAGCGACCCCTCTGATGGCATTATGAAGAGTCTCTCCATCTGGAGGACCAACAGCATTGACCTGGGGCTCTCAGAGCAGGGCTTAGCCCGGCAGCTCTTCTCTGAACCCTCTTTGCTGCACTAAGACGGAAATTGGCCACTTTAAGCTCCTGTATCTCCTGTCCCTAGTGATGCTGAGCACAGCTTAGGAAGACTCTATGCACACAGACCTCCCAGGCCTTCCTAAAACCAGAGGCACGGCCTCCATCTACAACTCAGTGCCTGTTCAGCCCATAGATAAGCTATAAACTCCCTCTGCGGGTGGCCTCACCACAACAAGCATGGCAAAAACACTCAGAGAGCTGAAACAAGCCATGGCCGGCCAGAAGCTGGCTGCTTGCAGAGCAAGGAGCTGTCTCCTTAATGCCGCCAGTGCTCCCACTAAAGCTCGCAAAGATATTTTTAAGCCTAGTTCAGCCCTGCTTAAATCCTGCAGAATTGCCTGTAATACCCTTCAGAGCTTACCAAAACCCCTGGAATTCTGCCTCAATTAAGCAGCACCCAAACCTGTAGCTCGGTTGGATTTACCCAAGGGTGAAGGAGTCCCCCTGCCCTAATGCCATTTAATTAGTGGGGTCCTGCCCTGGTAATGGTTCCCCTGATTTCCCCTGGGGGACACAGCCTGCAGGGGATGGCAGGTGGTCAGGGGACGTGTGGGAGAGGATAAGAGGTGCCTCCAGGTTTGGGAGCCCATCGGGATCTTCGGGTGTGCAAAGGGAGAGCCTCTGCCTTACACACTCGTGCATCCCGGTGTGGATCCAGCTGGATCAGTGCCGGGGAGGCTGCGTTTGGAGGCGAAGCACTGAGAGGTGACATCTTTGGAGCTGCTTTGCATCTGAGAAGCCCTAATTACAGTCCCAAAGGCTGCCAAGCTGGGATGCTCCTTGCAGCGCTGGGCTCCCGGCACTATTTGCAGCACGGCTGCTGTATGTGAAGACAACCAAATCACCGAGTGCAAACCTGGGGGCTGGGATCTGTCAAAAATTAGCACTTTTAGGCAGGGACTGTCTCCAGCTCCGAGACTAAGAAGCGTCTGGCATCGTGAAGTGCGTGCCCAGCTCCATCAGCCTCCCCTGGGGTTCAGGTGGGACCATGAATGCCATAGCAATGAGCACTCCCAGCTGCTGAATGGGATTCAGGTCTCGGCACCCTGACGAATGCCGAAAAGGTCACACGTTAATGATCTGCTGAATTTAGAAAGCCCCGACTCTTAAGCCTGGCTGTTTTCTTGGAGGCTCTTATCAATCACCGAGGCTTCCCAGCGCCGGCCGAGGGCGAAGGGCAGCACTGTGGGATGTGAATGGCAAATTGCTGACCTGACTCCATCTACGTGCACCATGGTGGGATCCGTGGTGGCATTTTGGAGCCGGGACCATGCACAAAGGGCCGGGGCTTTCTGCTGGAGGGCAGCCCAGATGCCCCCCATGTTCCGGCCACAGGACTCACATGCTGAAGTTCTCGGGGAGGAAGCAGCGATTCCTGAGCAAACCCGCCCACAGCTGGACTCCCACGATGCCGAAGATGAAGAAGACGAAGAAGCAGAGGAGGAGGACGTTCCCCAGCATGGGCAGCGTGTCCAGGAGCAGCGTCACCAGGATGCGCATACCTGAGGGGAGGACGAAGCGGTCACCAAAGAAGGAAAATCTGCACTGAATTTTCTCCTTCCATCCACGGCCTCCTGACCTTTTCCTTATCCCCTCCACCTACACCCTTCCTTCCCCTCTGTTCTCCTCATCCCCTTTGCTGCAGGTCCCTGCAGCTTCCTGGCCCCACCACCAGCCCAGGTACCCCCATCCAGCCCGGCCCCACTCCTGGGCACACAACCCACCTTCCCCTCTCCTCTCCCTTCCTCCATTCCCCATCCCAAATCCTCTTTTCCTCTCAGAGTTTTCTGCCCATTACCAGCCCCTTTCCTTCCAAGATCCGGCTCTGACACCTCCCTTGCTCAGCCCTATTGCTTTCCCCACTCAGGCTGTATTAACATTCCCTTCCCTTCCTAACTCCTCTCGTCTACCCTAAATCCCCTCTCTTCCTTCAAACACGGGATTTTCTCTGGCAGTTTATTCTCACGAGCTCAGGAACAGCCAGTTCTGTAACAAAGACAAATTGATGGTGACTTCAACTTGACATTTACACACAAAAAAATTGATTTTATCTGACATCTCTGTAATATTCTGCTCATCTCTCTCTCCCCTTCCTTCCCCATCTTCTGCATTCTCTCACTCGCTTGCATTGATTTTCATTTAAAGGAACCCTTACTATTGCTCCCTTTACTTTGATACTTCAAGAAGCTTTCTGATGTTGTCGTCTCCTCCATCAGGTTTCTCCTTTCACTCCTCTAATGGGGAGCAACCACCATGAGTCAACTCCTAATTGACTGGAGCGACTTTCCACGGTTGCTGCATTTATCATCATACAAAACCCTCCTCTTGCTTTCCCCACCTTATATTTCTATCCCATCATACCTACGTTGCACAGGAGCCAAGACGAATTACCCGGGACTTGAAAACACATTAAGGGAGTTACATCCCCGGTCAGACGGTGGCAGATAAATTCAGCCAGCCGTCAGTTCAGCAACAGGGAAAAAAACAAACATCACAGAGAGGATTCGGAGGGTACCGTAACGCCTGAACCAGCAGCAGCAAACCAGGTTGAGTCGGGACAAGACAAATAAACAGAGCCCAGGCAGTTCCAGCACAGAGCTGGAGCTGATCAGTGCTCATCGAGGTGCAGGGGTTCAGGCTTGGAGGTAATTTGGCTAAAACAAGGCTGAATCCAGCACCACAATGTTGCAGTGTTTCCTGGTGTTCCCTGGGTACTTCACAAGCCTCAGAGCATCGCTGCACTCACAAGAGGCTGTGAATCCCCCAGCAGAAGGACTCAGATGCTTTGCTTCCCAGGGAGAAAAAGGCTTGGATGAATTATTTCACATTAAAACCAGTACCTCGGTTCTTAGGACAGGTGAGAGATCTTCTCTAGGGTGAAACCAGCAGGTAGAACTGCACATGGCCATCAGTTTGAGAGTGGGCTATGCTAAATTTACAAAAACTGGGGCTCTTCTAGGCTTGGAGTACCTGGATGGGCACCCATGCAGCTCTGCAGGCAAGGGATGCTGCACGGACCAGCTGTGGGTGGTGGAGCAAGAGATGCTGCATGAGGAGGCTCCTCGGTGCCTCCCAGGGGCTGCCTCCAGGCACGACACGATTTCTGTGTCCCAGCTTCTCCGGGAAAGGCTGGGGGAGTGCAGGGAGGGCTCGGATCCCTCTGCCCATGCTGCATGGGGAAGGCTGCTGGCTCCCCGCCACCTGCATCCCTTCATTTGTTCTTCCACCTTTGGGGCACGGATATAAGAGATTTATAAAGGGAAGAGCAAAAATCCAACTTACTGGGGACTCTGTTAATGGCCCTGAGAGGCCGCAGGACGCGCACGGTGCGCACGGCCGAGAAGCTGACGTTCTGCAGGTCCAGCGAGTACTCCAGCATCCTGCAAGGCACACAGGGACGAGCGTCAAGGGTCTCCGGGATCATCAAACCGCCCGCCAGCTGCTCACCGAGGGAATTTTACTGCCTCTCTCCCCTCGGAAAGGTTTACCAGAGGAATTCATTAAGGGTTGTTTATCGGAATAAAGTCAACGAGCGCACACAGCCGGGTCTCTCGCCTCTCTCTCATCTGCTCTGGTTGCTGCTTCTGCACAGGATCCAGGGCAGAAGCTTCTCAAAGTCCCTGCTCACTGCGGGAGGGAAATTGCCAGGCAGAGCCCTGTTTATAATGACGGATTGCTCCCATTTCACAGCCCAGCACAACGAGGCACCACCTTCACCTGACTTCACCCACGGCTGCAGTTCACCTGTGGGAGCCCCTGGGGCAGCCCAGCCCCATCTCACCCTGCTCACAACGCCTTTGCTCAAGCACAGCAGGGCCACCGGCTATGTCACTGCTGGGATTTGGCCCTCATCCCGGAGGAAAGCACGAGAGACCTGCCGAAAAGCATCTCTGAAGAGGCAGAGCCAGGCAAACGCGACGACAGAACCGCGAGGCTCCCTGCACAGCCGGGCTCCTGCTGCTGCAGGCAACCACAGGATATTAATCTCTTCCGAAAATTATCAAGTTCCATCTTGAAGCGAGTTGGGTGGTTCCCTCCCTCCAGCTTTGATGGTTAGCAGCCTAATTTCCAGCCTCAATTTATTCAGGGCGAGCTCACATGCATTTGCTCTTACGCCAGCGCTGCCTTTTAAGTTGCTCCTGGAGCCGTTCCGTGTCGCCGGTGTTTACCCACCCGACGTATTGACAGAGCACAAAGCACATCTCCCAGCCTCCATTCTGCAAAGCCAAACAAAGCCAGCTCTTCCAGCCCCCTCTCACAGCCAGGATCTCTGCTCCCAGCCATCTCCACCCCTGTCCCAGCCTGGAGATTTGCTCTTGGTGTGATCCCCAAAACCTACAGCTCCACACCTGACGCAGTGATACCTCACCCCATTTCCCTTGGTAGGCTCCAAGGATGATGATGACAAACCATAGCCAAGACCAAAGCAGCCTCAATAAATTCTTCTGACCCTGACTTCACTGACCCTACTCCGGAGCTGTGTCCCCCCCAAGGAGAGCCACCAAAGCTTCCCCGGCCTCTAACAGCTCTAAAATACCCCTCGGTGTTCAGAAATAAGATTTTCATATGGTTTGCAGGATTCTGGTAAAAAGCCCATGTCGAACATACTGCTTTTCTTTCATCCGTAATTAAAACAGAGGCGAACAGCAAAATTCAGAGCAGCACATGATTATTTGCACCAAGACAAATCGTTTTCTGATTAATGACAGCTCCAGACTCACTCCCCGAGATGAGCGTGCTTGTAATCTGCAAAGGGCATGTTGTAGAACGCGGTTTGATTTAACATACTAAAAAACAATTATAATGTCAAATTAAAAAAAAAAAAAAAAAAAAAAAAAAAGGATCCCACTACCTTGAGCAAAGAGCTCAATACCAGGACTGGGAGCAGGTGGGTGCGGGGGAAACAGTCACCAAAAGGCAGCACCAGCAAGCACCCAGCAGCTCAGAGGTCTCCTCCCATGCACAGGAGGGATCAATCCAGTCCCCGGCCAGCAAAGCTCCCCAAAGAGAGCAAACACCAGGATGCTGAGCACCGGGGAGGTGACAGGAGCATTTACCCGCCCGTATCGCATCAGCGCACTGAGAATCCGCGGTGTAAAAAGCCCACGACAAAGCTCCAGCTCGAATGTCATTTCTGCTCAAATGTGCGAGCACGATGCCTGTCAGAGCCTCTGCTGTGATCCCGAGTGCCCAGCAACGTTAACAGTTCAGAAAAACGCTCGGCATTAACTAGGGTGGATCCGCATCAGACACTGAGACTCATTGGAGAGCTCGGCAGCCCCCGGTCACCGGAGTTATTCAGAAAGAGGAAACATTTCGGAAACATTTTGGACTTTCTAAGAATACCACCAGAGCATCTGCAAAGCCAGGCGTACGACGAGCTGCTGGGGGGGGGGATTCATGAAAAGAGCTGATGCAGCCTCTGGCAAGCACTCCTCCCACAGGGAGAGGTGCTGGGACAGACGGACAGACAGACAGACAGACAGGGCACATGAGGAGTGGCTCCGGACAGAGCAGGCAGCAGGAGCCTGTTCCCATCCCACCTGGGGATGGCCTGGCAGCTCGCTGGGCTGTGTCTGATCTAAATGGGATGTAAATGCTGCCAGGCAGGGCTGCGGATGGAGCTGTGCCCACAGCCGTGAGCTCTCCACCGGGAGCCCCCCGCAGCGCCCTGGGTGGCCCCATCCTGCCCCCCTGCCACCCGCAGCACGGGGACAGCCAAGGACCTGGGGACATGACGCAGGTGGGGACGTGACCGAGATGACCAAAGCTGCAAGGTGACAGCCCCCACCTGCACTGGGGCCGTGTCCCCAAGAGCCGTCCCTCACCCCCACAGCTCTCCCGGGATGCAGATTTACGAAGCGCTAGGAGCTCTCCAACCCCGGGCACACAGACGTCCCTTATCTACAAAGCGCAGCAATGGGTGGATGATATGAAGCCATCAGCGCTGGGAAAGACAAAGGCGAATTATTTAGGTGGTGCCGTATCTGGAGAAAGCCGGGATGAAATTTCCTCCCGGCCCTCGCAGGCTTCGCCGTGCTCTGCTTTTCGCTCAGGCGTTGCTTTCTGAGCCTCGCGAGTCTCACCGCATCCGTGGGCGTTGTTAATTTGAAAAATTTCCATTTTATTCCAGCCCGACGGAATAAAAATAAAAGCGGTGGAGGTAGTGCGAGCCCCTGGATCCGGCCGTGCAGAGGCACCGTGAGTCCCAGCCAGGACACCTGAAAAACGAGGCTTTTGGAGCAGCAGCAAGTTCAGCTCAAGCTGAAAAGCTGAGAGAAACAAGACTTCTCTCTCTCAAAAAAAAAAAAAAGTCTGAAAACTTCCCCAAAATACCCCTTTTTGCAGGTAGGTTTGAGTCAGCCGGGCTGTGAGGGCGGCTGCTGAGGGCTTGCTGCAAACAGCAGCCTCCCTGAACCAAGGCTGGCAGGGAGCGCACCAAGGCGTTCACCAAAAGCACCCCACGGCCAAGCTGGGACCCCCATGGGGACACACAGAGGTTTGGGGTCACGGCTGGTGGCTTGGCTTGGTTCTGCCACCGCTGCCCCCCGGGGACAAGGCAGGAGGCTCCCCGTGGCCGGCTGGCAGCACTGGTGTCGTTGAGGGCCGGGCACGGCCTCTGCTGCAGTCGGCAGGGAGGGCGGCTGCACATCGGGTAATTGTGTGTGCAAATCACCCGCTCACACGCACAATTACCCCACCAATCACACGCACAATTACCCCGCTGCTCACACACACAATTACCTGACCGCCGGCACCGCGCAGCCAAGGTCCCGGGGTGCTGCTCCAAGGTGCCCCGAGGCACTGGAGACCACTGTGAGCAAACAGAGTGGGCACAAAAAAGTAGCTTTCGCCCCCGCCTTTCTATTATTATTTTTCTATTATTATTATTTTTTTAAGGGACAAAGGGGAAGGAGGAGCCTTTGCCCCGTGTCACACCAGGAGGCTGCAGCAGGGGATCCCACACCCCGTGCTTTGCCTTTCCTCCCCATGCCCACCCCGTTTGCTGAGGTGCCCTGGGTGCCTCGTGCGGCTGCAGCACAGTTCGGAGGAGCCCTGCCTGCCTCTGAAGCACAAAGGCACCAAGAGATCAAGGCCACGGGCTGGGAACATCACCCCCAGCACGCATCCTTTGGGTACCACGGGCATGGGATCGATGCTCCCCACAGCGACCCACCTGGCAGAATTGTCTCCGTGCCCAATTTCTGGCTAAAGAGCTTTTCAGAAACCGTCCTGTGCTTTTGTTTCAGGTGGAGCAAGGGAACGCAGTGCGTCTCTTGCTCTCTGCTACCCACGAACTCGTCAACGCTTTCTGCAGCATATCTCAGCCCTGAAACTCAGCACTCGAAGACAGGAGGGAGCAAGACATCCTTAAGAGTTGTTTATGAAAGCTTCAGTGGAGCTAACCCTTTAATACTGCCTTCAGCACAGGGAGAACAAAAAAAAAGAAAACAAACATTACAAGAAGTGCTCAGGAAGCAAAGGGAAAAAGAATTGGTATGTCTGCTTCAAAAGCAAGCGGGCTGCCAGCCACCTCCAGCCCCAGCTCCTCCCGAACTGTAAGCAAAATATTCCAGAAGTGTTTAACTTTGTCAGAAAGCCCTCTGAGAGGCCCGTCACCGTTCCAAGGAGCAAGGCGCAAACGGGACACTTGGCCAAACAACTGGCTGAGCGCAGAGGAAGAGCAGAGCCGCGCAGCTCACACACAGATGATGCACAGCCCTGCCTGCGGGGGGGCAGGAAGGCAGACGCCGACCCAGAGCCCCAGAGGAGCCCTGCAGGCACCAAATCCTCACCTGATGCAAGCCCCCCTCCTGGGGGAACGACCAAACCGCGGGGTTTTGCTGCTTTGTGTTTGGTTTGCTGAGCATGGTTTGGTTTTCGGGGCAGAGCGTGGCTGTGGGTCCCCAGGGGGCCAGGAGCATCAGCACCCCACAGCCACGCTTCGCCAGCTGAGCCTGCAAGAGATCCTGCACATTTCTGGGTGTAAACAAGCACCCGTCCTTGGCACTTCCACTTTGTACGCCGTGAGAGGTCGAAATCCCATCGAGCCACCCTCAGCGGGAGCCGGCACGCAGCGCCTGGTAACCTTCAAGCGCTCCTTGAAAAAGCAAACTCCCCAAATCCTCTCCTTCAAAATAAAGGAACATAATTATGCGATTCGTCACTTTTTTTTTTCCCTTTCCCCACACAGCTCCGTAACCTCCAGCCAAAGCTGTGCTTCACCAAGTGGAGTTTTGTCTGTGTAGCGCTCCCCTCATCTGCAGCAAGTTTTGCTGTAATTACAGAGATGTGTTGCAGACATTACACTCTCTACAATTAGTGCTAATTGCATTACATTGTCACAAAGAAGTCATTTATTCTCCATGAGCTCATGAGATTGGTCTGGACAGTTTAACAGAGCTGAGAAGTACTTAACGGCACGCTGCGCAAGTGGCCAGCCCAGCACCGCCCAGCGGCACTGCCTTTGGGGCAAATACGCAAGAAATTGGTTCCTCTGCGACCACAGCCCCCGGCAGGGCCAGAAACTTCTCGAGGAGGGAGGGTGAAATGGTTGAAATGCCATTTTTTTTCCTTTTTTTTGGAAGCAAGCCTGTCCTAGGCTGGTCACGGTTACGAAGGGTTTCCGCGGGAGGTCTGCCTGCAGGGAGGAAAGCAGCGGGCAGGCAGAAGCAGAGCTTTGTGCTGCCTCCTCTGCAAGGAGGTTCAGGGGCTGGGGGAGATTTGGGGCAGGCCCTGAGGGGCGAAAGGCTGGATGAAGCCCTGCCATGAGACCCACGTTAAAATCCCAGTTGCTTTATGGGGTATCTAACAAACCCAGAGCGGCTCAGGGCATTGCCCTGGCGCTCGCTCCCCTCCACAGCTCGGCCCTGGAAAATTCCCCAATTTCCCCCCAAGCCTGTATCCTGGGATGCCCCAAGCACATCACCTGCACCGTGCCCCCTTCACTTTACTGGTTTGGGACCTGACCCTTGGTCTTGTCTTCGCCTTTTGGTCTTGTCCTTAAGGTGTTTTCTACCTACACCTTCACTCCAGGCTCTGGTCCCCTGATGTCCCCTGCTATGGCAGCAGCCCCGGTCCTGCAGCTGTCCCCAGCACTTGGCACCGCAGGGGGACAGCGAGGGGTCCCTAGGACAGCAGCGATGCTGGAGCAGGAGGCAGCGGGGGCCAGGATGGATGGGGAGGCTGGGGGAGAGCAGCGGGACGAGCGGCCGCAGAAAAACCCCGCGCGCACCGAGGGAAAGGCTCTGCCTTCGCCCCTACAGCCAGTTCGATCCTTTGTCAGCTGAATTGCTTGTGACGGGGTCCAGATGGGAACAGCTCGAGCACAAAAAGGAAAGGCCGATCATTTAGCGAGAGGCAAAGCTGACCTGGCAGCAGGCACCAAGGCAAGCAGGCTGCGAGGCTGCGAACTGCTGGAGCTAATGAAGCCACCGCGCCCCGGGGGATGCGGGTGCCCGAACCCACACCCAGGGCTCCGTGGGGGAATGGGGCTGAACCCAGGCTCCCGTTCAGGTGCAGGAGGCAGGCGGGCAGTTTGATGCTGAGGCACAGCACAGCTATGTAGGAATTAGGGCAGGGTTAGGAGAGCCCGGAGGAACAGCAGCAGACACCCATCATGATGGGGGGCTCGTCATGGGCATCGATATAACCTGGGCTCCAAACATCAGACAAGCTGAAGAGGATAGGAGAGGGCTGGGGGGGCAGTGCAGCACCCCCAAACACGCCACCCCCACAGCACAGCACAGCACAGCACACCACGCTCAGGTCCCCTTCCTCATCACGCTTCATCCTGCTCCAAGAAATCACAAAGAACTCAAGAGGAACCTGGGATCTTTCGGCCCCTCCAGCAACAAGTTCCTAGGGGCGCACTGGGAGACCTGCCACCCCCTTACTGGTTGTACTGGGCCACCTTCGAGGTGCCCCCAGCTCCCCACAGGGGCGCACACCAGGGGCTGTAAGGGAAGCCTGCAGGCTCCTCGCCCCGTACGGCAGACGGCAGGCGCCCCGCTGATACCCTCGCCTGGGAAACGGCCCAGCCTGGAGGGGCCCCGCTCCTTTCCAGGAAAATCCAGTAAATTTGATCTGCAGCTCTATCAAAAGCGAGGAGGGGAAAGAAAAAAAAAATTAGAAAAAAAAAAAAAAAAAAGCGCCATTTTCCCAAAAGGTCTCCGGGCTCTTGGAGGAGGGAGGGGAGGCGAGGGCCGGTGAGCGAATCCTGTGCCAAAAAAACTCAGCGCCCTGGCCGGGGGCCAGGCACTTTTCATGTGGATTTGCAGCCCCAGCCAGGAGATTCTCGGGTGCTGGAGGAGCCTTAACTCAAACCAGGTGCCTCGGAAAGGAAAACGCTCAAAAAGGCAAACTTGGTTGCTTTCCCTCAAAAACAACAAAGAGGGCAATCACGCACATTTCACTGAAATATCCTCCCTGGAAGGCAGCTCTCCGCGCTTCAAACAATCTGCTGAACACCCCCCCCGTTGGGCAGCCTGCATGAAACCCAAGCCCCCAGCGCCGCGGAGCCAAGCCCAGCGCCAGGCAGGGTGGCCGCGCGGCACGGGACATGCATGGGCTGGCCAAAAACTGCAGCAAACGGCTCCTGCTGCATCCCCAACAGTGCTTGTGAGCCAAACATCACCAGTACACTGCCATCACCGCCACCGGGCACTGGAGATCTCTCTCATGGGTGATGGAGACAACCAGCGGGTCCCCTCTGGGCTGGTGTCCCTGCTACAGGAGAGGGTAACGGCCTCACATTGCACCAGGGAAGGTTTGGAGGGGATATCAGGGAGGATTTATCATGGAAAGGGTGGTTGGGAAGAGGTTGCGCAGGGGGGTGGGGGTGTCACCATCCCTGGAGGTATTTGAGATGTGCGGACGTGGCTTAGGGACGTGGTTTGGTAGTGTTAGGTCAGCGGTTGGACTCGATGATTTTAATGGTATCATCCAACCTAAAAGACTGTAGGCTTCTAGGATAGGTGGTGCTGACAGCCCTGATGCATAAGAGCCCACGGGACCTCAGCACTCTCCACCCAGAGCTCCCTCTCCCCAGCCCAGGCACATGAGCCACGAAGCCCACGCGGGCAGGGGGCAGCCGGGGCGCCTGACTCACCCCGCGATGACGATGAAGAAGTCCAGGCGGTTCCAGGTGTCTCCCAGGTAGCATTTCTTCCCGAAAATCCCCAGCGCGATCATCTTGACTATCATTTCCACGGCAAAAAAGGCAAAGATGAAATCGTCGAAGCTCTGCCAAAGGAAAGGGAGCGGGATGAAAAGGGAGCGGGACGAAGGGCGCACGGCCCCGCTGCCGGCCACCGCAGCTTTTTGCTGGGTGGGGAAGGGTCCTGAAGCCCTCCCACCCCAAAGCCACGTGTGCCCGGCCATACCTGCAGGATGCGGCAGCGCGGTGAGTCGCAGGCGATGTCCTCGCAGGGGTGGAACATGCCCAGCGTCACGCAGTTGAGCAGGATCACCAGCATGCTCACCCGCTCGAACCAGCTGCACGGAGCGCGGTCAAGGAAGCAGCGGTGCCAAGGGAAAAGAAGGGGGGTGATGCCAGCAGGACCCCAAGGTGTTTTGTCCCATCCGGGACACCCCACATGCTGTCTCTCCTCGCCCTGCTGCTCCCCAGGTTGGTGCACTTAAATACCTCAAGTTTTCCATAAAACTCCCATCAAACTTTAAAATATCCTTTTCTTACCCCTTCTTCCCTCACCTCCATTTGGCACCAGGCACAAAGAAACACCCAAACGCAGCACACCAGCAGTCACCGCTGAATCAAAGACAATCCTTGTCTTTCCAGCAAGGCGCACGCCAAGAGCTGCTGCCCAAGGGTCAGATTTTGGGGTTTTGCACGGAGACCCTGCCTGCTGTTTGGTACCCAAGTGGCAAACCAGTGGCATGTTTTCCCCGTGGTGACATCAGTGGCCGTGGCTAATGTGAAAAACGCTATAAAATTAAAGTTGCATGGCGAGACTGCTGAGTGCTGATATGATGGATTAAAAAATTAAATTAAAAGAATGATATAAACTTTTAGAAAAAAACACGCCATTAATTTCCTCTCCTGGCATTTCACAGAAAAGCACTTTAACAACATTACAATTTTCTATTAACTATGTCACAGCTTATCCCAGGGGCGTTTCCCTGAAGCCAGTGATTGAACTTTTCATTCCCAGTCCAAATTAAGGCTGTCAAAAACATTAACTGGCCGCCTAAAAGGCTTAGGGCTGCCGTGAGGCCCCACAGAGCCCATCCCCTGCCCAAACGCTGCCTCTCAGAGCAACGCCGAAGAGCTGAGCTGCTGGGACAGGCTCTGAGCACTTGCTTGGACGAAGCAAGGCGCGTTGCTGCAGCAAATCCTCCTGGGGAAGCTTCGAGCCTGGTACTGAATCTCTGCATCCTTCTTCCAGCCAACTCCTGGCTGCCAAGGGCAGAAGGACACGAAACCAAGGAGCTGTCACCACCGGGGTTATCTGCCAGCACCAGGGCTTCCAGCTGCGGGCAGGACGCTCTGGGTCCAGTTGTATTCAGGAATATTTTAAGCCTTGACCTCCAGCTGCAAGGGGGAAGGCAGAGCACCTCAAGCGGGTGCCCCAACCCGTGCCCGGTGTTGGGGACGTCCTTGCCTGGTGGCTGCAGGGTCTTCTATAGGGCTGAAGCCTGGAAAAGTAAATTTGGAGGGGAGAGGCTGGGTTGGAAGCTCTTGGCCCCTGCTCCACGCTTGCCTTTGGGCTGGATCAAGCCGCACTTTAGGCAGGTCCTCGCCGCACCTTCAACACCTTGCAATTAGAGGTTTGCATCTCATTTGAGGGATAACAAGGACGCCACGCTGCAGCTGGTGGGTGCAGAGCCCTGGAGGTGAGCCTGGGACACAGACACCCAGAGGTGAGCCTGGGACACGTGTCTGGTGAGGCCGACCAGCCCTGGCACGAGGCAAGCAGCGTTCGGGGAGCTGCCAGCAGCTCAGTGCCGGCACCCAAACGAGCGCAGCCCCCATCAGACGAGAGCTTTCACTGCGATGCAGAGCTGGGCGATGTTTTGGAGCCCGTGCTGTCGCGTTATTGGGCTGGAGAAGGAAAAGGTGTGGGGGAACCAGCAGGTGCCTGCCCGGCGGGGTGCAGGGCCGGAGCGCGCGGTGCTGCAGGATGACCCCACTCCGATTCCTGCGAAATCACACAGGGCTGAGTCACCGCCCGGTCCCTGGCAATCTGGATCCTTTAATCTGAAGAAATGTTTACAAGATATCGGAATAGAAATTCCGACTGTCAGGTCGCGGCTACGGGCTGGAATATTTATCCCAAATATAGCCCTGCGGGGGCACGCACGGAGGGCGCGCTGCAGGAGGGGGCAGGAGGCTCCGGTAGCAGCCGCGCCAAATCCGCGGGCGTTCTCTGGCCTGGGGGGGCTTGGAAAGCATCCACGGCTCTGCCAGTGATGAACTGCAAAGCCCTTCGAGAAAATCAGGAATTAAAGAGGAAAAAAAAAAAGCCTGCAAGATCCCAAATTGGTGACAGAATGAGTGTGCGTCTGACAAGGGCTGCGCGAAATATTCAAGGCTCAGAAGGAGCCCGCTCGGTCGGATGGGAACCCGACGAGACAGACGGACAGATGGAAGCTTCCCCAGCCAGGCAAATCCTTGCAAATAAATTCTTTCCCGGCGGCAGAAGACAGGCCCAGCTCTCCTCACGTGGCCGAAATGAGAACACGACCTGGGTGGGTGCCTGGTCCCTGCGTTCACTGCCACGATGGGCACCCCGGCTCTGAGAACAGGCACCCCTCGGGTGGAAAAACAGCCTGGGGAGAGGGTGGCCAGGAGCAGGATGGGATTTTATCCGCTGCTGGCGTTTTTCTTTGCCCGGCTCTGGCCGCAGACCCACTTATCAGCACATCGCTCCCTCAGGCAAACACATTTTCAGTCCAATATAACGCTTCTCCCTGATTAAATATCCCCGGGGCAGGGCCGGCACAGGAGCCTGCTGGTGCACGGGGCGATATGTTAATGTGCAGCTGATAGATCACAAGGTTGGGGGTTATTTTATTTTATTTTTTCCCTTTTTTTTTTTTTTTTTTTCCAGCTGAATGGAACTTCAAGCTCTTTCTTCTGCTAATGGGATTTTCAGAGCCACACAAAGTGCTGATGGCTATGGCTTTGTACCTACTGTTGTTTGAGGGAGAGGCTGACAAAGGAAAACTTCAATTAGCAGCAGCAGAAGGTGCTTTATTGAATACTGCTTGCTGCTGCTGCCTTGGCAGCGAAGGGGCAAAGCTGAGCAGGGAGCACAGGGCTTAGGAAGCCCCACACAGACCCCACTGCTCCTCGCCACGCTGCGTGGCACCGCATCAGGGCCGCATCCTGCGCCAAGGCACTGCTGCTGCCGAGCTGGCCCTGCGGCGGCTGTGCCCTCCTGGTGCAGGCGACCCGTGTCACACATGCACGACCAACACTCAAAACAGTCCTCTCCATGCCACGGGACGCTGGAGAGTCCCCACTTTTGGGGTCACCTGCCCACCCCGAGCCATTCTTAAAACCCCACAATTTTCCCATCAGCTTGGTCGGAGCTGAAACGCTCACAGGTGCTCCCTTTCCAGAAAGATCCAGCAAGACTTTTGCCGTGACCTCTCTCTGAAATTGTAAATAATGAAAAGCACAAGAAAATAAAAAAACCCCAGAAGCCAAGCGCTTGCGAGGAAAGGAGCCTTCACCCTGAACGAACGCCCTCAAACGCCTCCCCCCGGCGCCACCTGCGTGCGCACGGCTGAGCACGACCTCCCGTAATTAAGAGGCAAGAACCCAGGATTCAATTAGCCAGCGCTACCCAGCTTAATATAATCAAAAGAGAAAGATATTGCATTATGCTCGCTATGATTTGGTTGCAGAAGTTTGGATCAAATTTGCCAGCAAGGGAATTAAAAGGGACGATGCTGCTGGAGGGCAGCGGCAGCTGCAGGCGCGCTCCTTGGCACGGGGATGGCAGCACCAGGACAGTTCCTGGGCATTTCCCTCCTGCCCTGCAAAGTTTTTGCTCTCTGGGACAGCTGCTGCTGTTCAGCAAACCTGCAGAAAGTGCTGGCGAGGCCTGGAAATTCTTGTGCAAATGTGATGCGAAAATTGGGTTGAAATGACAGCCTTCCCCTGCAGTGCCACCGAGTCCCACCAGCTTAGGAGCGACGCCGGGATAAGCCGCAGACGTTAATGAGAACGGAGTTTTAGGCTTCGTTCCTATCATCAATTCCAGAAATAGCCCCTTTGACAAGAGCATAATGGGACTTCCAGGGTCTGGCCTTTGGGGGAGAGGGAGGCGGCAGCCACCAAAATCCTAAAACATTAATTCAGGCCGCTCGCGAGGGAAGTGAAAAGCCCTTAGAATTAATCTGCCTCACGGATGGAAATAAAATATATGGAAATAAAAACCCCTTCCCAGCTCTGCCACCCACCGCCCAGGCCACCAGGAGAAGGCTCCGAATGTCACACCTGGTGGAAAGGTTGTAGGATTCCTGCCGCAATCCTACCCCAACCCTGCACAATTAATTGGGGTTTATTTCATTTTTTTAATGGTATTCCTTCAAAATTAAGGGCAGCAGCCACGTCGTGCTTCCAGCACGTGCAAGAGGCACCGCAGCCCCTGGGAGCTCTCCAAACATCACGGTGCCACCCCAAAAGCACGGCCATGGTGTGGGGACAAGCAAGAACACATGAAGTTTTGGCAGGGATGGCCTCTGGGGACATTGTCTGGCCTCTTGTGCTCCCCCCTTGCTCTGCAGACTGCTTCCCCTCAGCCCTGGGAGGTTGTTTTAATTCTTGCAGCTTTGCGATTACACCTGGGAAACCCAAACAGGGCGATTATTCATGCCACAGGGTTTGAGATTTCATTTCATTCAGTTTTCCTTGCAGCCCTTGCAGGTGCTGCACTGTGGCACCCCCCGCACCACAGCCATACCGAGACCCAAAGACAGCCAAAACCCCACAAAGTGCCCCCAAAATGCCACTGGCACCCATCAGAGCGCAGAGGAGGTTCATCGCTGCTTGGCAGGGAAGCAAAACTCTTTAATAGAGGAAAATAGGAATTTCTGGGATTAAATGTCTTAATCGCCTTTTCATTTTCTCCCAAAGATTTCAAACCTGTGCTGCCAGAGATGCTCAGGGGAGGCTTCCCCCTGCCTGGGAAACGCAGCCACTGCTCCAGGGGAGCGTGGCGCCTGCTCTGCAGCGCAGAGGAGCCTGCTCAGGTGATGGAGTGAGAAACGATGCTGTATTTGGAGGGGCTGAAGCACGATAAAAGAGGTGTTTTGTCAGAAAAAGAAAAAAAAAAAATCCTGACAAGGCTCTTGCTTGCCTGACTGCTGCAGAATTGTTTCCCCTTTGCCTTTTAGATTCAAACTTCAAGCTTTTTTTTTTTTTTTTTCCAGCAACCAAAAGGGTTTAAAATCTTACTGCTTAAAGAGAAAAAAAAAATGCAGATAAAAAGAACCCTGCGAGCTGAGTGCCTTGCATAATCCCC